ATTGTAAGTCGCTTTGGATAAAAGAGTCTGCAAAATGACTAAATGGCGTTACATCAGTTTGTGTTTCACTGCCTACAGGAACCTACACACCCCAAACTCTATTATCAGACAGACACAGCTGGAGAAACAGAGAAAAATGTCAGATGAAAGTTTGTTATGTAAGGCTTCTTCAAAGAGAGGAAGAGGAAGAAGTTCCACAGAAAGCGGAAGTAGCGCGGCCTCACACTCCACCTGCTGGACAATACTGACCGACAATTATTATGTGTTCAGACAAAAGATTTATATACATCATTTAATTTAACATTATCATATAGTAAATTATTATATTTAGTATATTATAATATAATAAATTTATATAATTAACACCATAATAAATAATGCAGTATAATGTTATAATATATCACCAAAAAAAAGTAATAAATATAATAAATAAATAATATAGCTTAACAAGTGTACATTTTGTGCACATGATACTGTTCTGTTTAAAGTATTGAGACAAATAATATATTATATATAAGTTAATTACATTTAATATAATATATATTTTGATTTAATTAGAATGATATTATATATTCTGTATATATATATATATATATATAAAATAATTGTAATTGTATTTAGTACATTATAATAAATAAATGTAAGTAATAATATGATAAATAGTTTATTTCAATATAATATATTATATTTATTTTATTGTGGTATAATTTAATATTATAATGATATATATATATATATATATATATTATATGATTTTTTTTAATTAATTAAATTTTTATTATATATTTTTATGCAATGTCAAAATAATATTGTATTTAGTATATAATAATAAAGAAATGTTAATAATAATATAATAAATAATATAGTTCAGTATAATAAAGTTATATTACTATGTAATATAAAATAATATTATATTGTTACATTATATTAAAAATCTAAAAATATTAAATTTAGACTGTTGTAATATAACAAATAAATATAATTAGTAATAAATAAAATCATTAAATATAAGAATATTAATAAATTATTACGTAATATAAAAATAGTCTATTCGCATATTATGATTTAATTACTAAACATATAAATAATAATATAATAAATAAAAAATATAGTTCAGTATAGTTGTGTATGTTGTGCTGTTCTATCTAGATATGCATAGGTTCAGCCGCTCTGGTTTTTATTTGAGGTGTAGCTTGAGTTGGATGTATTGGGGTTCAATTAAGGCCTGAAATGTAATCTTGTAAACTGTTTAGTACAGAAAGCGTGCAAGTTAGTATGCAATTAAAGTCAGCTCTGTCATATATCCAGGTGAACGACACGAGTATCGAGGGTCTGCGTCACGCGGAGGTGGTGGCGCTGATCAAAGCGGGCAGCAGAGAGACCCGTCTGCTGGTGGTGGATCCCGACACAGATGAGCTCTTCAACCGACTGGGAATCGTGCCCACATCTATTCATCTTAAAGGTACAGCACATGCTTGCATATATGTGTCCGGGGAGTTCTGGGAACGTCTACAGAAGGAAACGAAACTGGAAAGACAATATTTAAATGCTTTGTATTTACTTAGCCTCACCTGACTGCTACTGTGATCACTATTAGGAGAGTTTATGCAAAACACGGCTGATGCCTTATGCAAACGTTTGTAATGTTCAGTGCACATAGAAACTAGCCCTAGTTCATAACTAGGTGGCGTGTCAGTAATCATCTCTCTCAAACAGAGGACTGTGTGGACGGGCCAATCATAGAGAGTCCTGAAGCGACGTGTTCAACCACACACAGCACTGTATCTGCTTCACCGGTCCCAGACGCCCACAAGAGCTCTCCACCAATCATCAACATCACACTGACTGACCCACCAATCAGCAACGGCTCCCCAAGACACCAGAGTCACAGAAGCTCCTCCTCTCGATCCACATTATCAGAGACCAGCGCTGAAATCAGCAGCTTCGACAGCAGCAACAAGGTGAGTGCAAGTACATTCACTGTAACATACCTTGAGTGGCTTATTTTTTAAAAGTTGTACAAAAACAATGTTCAAATATTTTATTATTATTAATATAATTATTAATATAGCTGTTGTTGTTGATGATGATAATAATAATACTGTATTAATATTATATATAATTAATTCAATAATAATAATAATTAATATTATTATTGCTGTTGTTGGTAACAACAATAATAATAATTGTATATATTATATGATATTATTGTTATTATTATTCAAATTATAATTTATTAATATGGTATGTTATTAATGTAATAAAAATGTTATTGGTAACAATAATAATAATTTAACAATATTAAAATATTGTATATTGCATATATATTATTAATTAATCTAAATAGCTATTATATAGTGCTAATAATAATAATATAATTATATATTATTATTAATAATAATTATTATTATTAATAACTAAATAATTTAACTTAATAATAAAAAAATGTGTTGGTAATAGACGAGACAGATATAAAAGCATATTTAAAATCTTTAATGTTTTAATGATTAATCGCAATTAATTTAAGAAATAAATGTGCGATTAATTAGTACATTTTTTTAATCAATTGAAAGCACTAGTACTTATTAAAATACATGAAAGAATATGTGATCATATCACATTCTGTAAATGGACTACTTGCACTTCCGTTATGAAATAATACAGCTCAGTTATTTCCGGTTATGTGTATTTTCAGTGTGCTGTAATCATCAAATTGACTTAAACGCCTATTAAAATGAGAGTCTGCGGGATGATTTATTTATCTGTATTAAATATGTTAGTCACTATTCTGTGTCATTTTTCATTCACAATCATTTCGCTGTATGTAATGCCAAAATATGAATATTCAAAGTAGTCGCACTGT